TCTTTTTTGTTTTAAAGAAATTATGGATACAAAATTTTATATCAATATTTTGCAAAATTATAAACAAGAAATTAATAGACTACTTGGAATAATTGGTACTTTTAACAAAATAATAATTCCAAGCATACAAGTAAAATTATTAAAGCATTTTAAATGAAAATTTTTTTAAAATTATTGATTGACTTTGTAACAGTCTAGATTTAAATCACATTGAAAACCTTTGAACTATTACTAAAAAAAATATAAAAATGAGATTATCAAAAATATTTTAGAATTAGAACAATTTTTGATAGAAGAATAATATAAAATTTCAAATAAAGTTTTAAATAATTTTATAGATTCAATGAAGAGAAAAATGAATTAATAATTAAAAATAATGGTAAAAGAATTAATTATTAATTATATATTAATAAAATCTCTAGATTTTTAACTTTATCTTAATATTTTTAACTTTATCTTAATATATTTTTTATTAATTTCTATATAGTAATTTTTAAGTAATGAATAAATAAAAATTACAAAATTTTTTGCATCATACTGTATATTGATATTTATTGTTGGATCAAATGGATAGAACACTAGTCAACACTGTTTTACTTATGAGTTTAAGGTTTTGATAGCTTAATCAAAATTCAGTCAATAAATAGTTTTTGTATACAGAGAGACTTTTGACTGAGATTGGTTAAGAAAGTCAAATATTAAAAGAGTACAATGCCAAGTGAATGTCAATACATAGTCTGAAAAAAACTATTATTATTTGCTCAATGTAACACAGATCCATAATTTATTTCACGTGAAGAGGAGAATCTGTGAGATATTAATATTAAAAAAATTTTTTTAAAAAAAGAAAGGTTATATACTGTAATTCCCAAACTTTATTGTGTAATGTTTATATTGAGTTGTAATTAAAATAAACTGTACTGGACATGGTTTATTAAATATACAATATAAGCTTTTCCTATGAGTATATAGAATAAACACTGGATATTGAAAAAAAAAATCATTTCTTCTCATTAATATCTTGTAATCAACTTTTTCTTTGTTTATTTCATCCAGAAAATACGATTACCATAAAGCATTTAGTTAGCCGTCGTATACTGGTAAAAAAAAAGATATGTTTTTTTTTTCAATGACTCATTTCTATGTCGGAAATAAATACGCGTCTGTTTACTTGTTTAATTATTCAAATAGAATACATAGTTCTAGAATATATAATGTAATAAAGATATGCTGTATTTGCAAAATAATAACAACAATCTATTGCATTTTTATCTTTGCGCAAGATTCCTTTTACTTTAAGTATTACATACCTTTGTTGTTTTATATTATAAAATATAAAAAGAGTAACAAAGTTTTTGAAAATAATAACAGATTTTCAGTAAGTTAAATGTACATAGTTCACAGGGTTTTAATCATGAAAGTCTCTCTCGTTAAATGTACATAAATTATCAGAGAAATTCAATACAGTGGTCATATAATGAAAACACAAATAAAAATAATCAAAATATACAATTATAAATTATAAACTCGAAACCGAATCTGTAACGAATAAGAAAATAACTCTTAACGCTCGCAAAAAGATGTATGCCTTCTATATAATAAAAGCCCCAATAATTTAATAAGAAGCAATCGAATAAATTAAAAATAAAAAAGTACACATTATAGTTTTAACAATAAAATAAATTAGTTCAAGAATTTTTACAAGAGATTGCACTGAAAACACTATAAATAGTCGAAAATCTCCTTTAAACCACCCGATAAAAAATTGGAAAACCCCTTTGAACAATTCTATGAAAAATTGAATTGTTCTATAAATTCGATAAGAAAGCCTCTTATCAACAATTTGAAATATTTCATATTCTTCGATTTCATAAGTTTCTCTGTTAATAATTTTCTTCTCGTAAGAGCATTTCCTGCTTTCGCAGACAATATTATTTGAAAATTTTGATGATAGGATACACAGATCTTGTAAACCAAAGCATGGCCCTTTGCTTTTGCACCAAATGATTGCTTCTTCTTTAGAAGAGACTCGACTTAATATCGGAATTGCTCGGTTCGTTAATGAAAATATAAAACTATTTGACGTTTTACATCGGTGATTAGAATAATCATCCGTAAAATCATCGTCGTCAAGTGAATCTTCTACTTTGACACAACGCCATTCTAATGGATTGTATCCGCCAACTATCTCGGCTGAATCGCGAACTTTAATGACCACGAGTGTTGGTCCCTGAT